GAGGGAGAGAGAGAGAGAGTATTGAATTTGCAGCTACGGCAGCGGACTAATCGCCGCGAGCGAGTCGAGGGCGAAGAAAGCGTGCAACCCGAGTCACGTCTCGCGTGCAGAGTCGACGAGAGACTCCGCGAATTTTCCGTTAGATTAAAATTTTAAACGCTCATACATACCGTAGCTTTCAACCCGTTTCGTTATTTTATTCACGTATCCGTGCAATTTTAGCAAAATTAAAACAGTTTTACTTATCATAAAATATTAGATACAAACTGTTTCGCACTGTCGCGATAAAATGTAAATGCGCGAAAATGGATTCCAATGTTTTTCGTAAACACGGATAAAATATTTAACAAATTCCACGAGGATACCACGTGGATCTCATTATTATATCTCGTTTTAATTATGCCTCAACTAAAGCAATCAATTGTACAGTTTAACATTAAACGTTATCCATTACTTGTGCAAACTATTACACGCGCGCGCGTGTGTGTGGGAGGCGAGAAGTTTCCAAAACAGTCGTTTTAATAATGGAGCAAGGTGAAACGACCAATTGTACCGGTTTAACATTATATATCCGTTATTTGTATGGGAAGTATTATTACACGCGCGTGCGAGAAGTTTCCGAAACGTTGCGGAATCTAATTATCCTCTTTTCAGATAAAAGTCATTTTCGCCTGACGTATGTGGACTCGTGTCTATGTCCAAGTTCTTTGAAACGGTATACGTTGAAACGGTATAATTCTGCACACACAAGAGAGTAGAGAGAGAGTTATCCTCAGGCCCGGTTTAGCGGAAGCTGTATACCGGGATGTGTTCGCCGATACAGGGAAGATCCGATATAGGATTAAATCGTCACGGAGTTAGTTATATGACATGAGGATATTCGCTCGTCGAAATATCGAATATAGGATCGAATTATATCTCTTTTCTCTCGTCTCTCATCCTCTCCGTTTGCAATAGATGCGCAAATTAGCTGTCTTCTCCCTGTCTCTCTCGTGATAATCTCAGAGATTCCTCTTGTTACCCGCATGCACTCTTTTTACTCACCGCTTTTTATCGCTCCTCCAAATTTCGTTTTTCTTTTGGATTTTTCTATTTTATGTCACTATTTTTTTCATATTTTTTTTCATTATTATTTCTTTATATTTTTCTCATGTTTTGGTATTTTTCTTTGTTATTTTTTTTTACTTATATTACTTTCTTTATATGTTCGTAGAGAAGTCGCCCTAGAATGGTAATAAACACTTGAATTCTTTCTCTCTCTCTCTCTCTCTCTCTCTCTCTCTCTCTCTCTCTTTTTCTCATTCTCTCTTTTTTCTTGTTTCCTTGAAAAGTAACATTCAGTAATGTCGCGCAGGATGATGATAATGATACTAATGGACTTCACCGACTCGCGATTTCGCAGCTCTTATCGCGTTTCTCGACCTACAACCTTATTACGTAATGATGATCTTCAATGTCCCTGTTCTTTTTTCCGGCAAATGGGAGAGGTAAATAAAATTTATTCGGTAATATAGGAGAGAACGTTCGTATTTCAACATGTGTATGCTTATAATCCGAACTCGGATAATACGAATGTGGCAGTAGCACGGCGGAGATGCCTACAGGGCACAAGTAAAATGTGGCTTTAATCTAAAACGTTTGGGAATTTGAGAGAGCACTTTGCGAGCGTTTCATCCGTCAGTATCCCGCGCATATCTAATTTCGCTCTTGGAAAACACTGGCGCATTATTTCTCGATATGAAAGTATTATCCGTAATTTAATTCTGCTGGCGTTCTACGAAAGTGATCCGCCTCGCGAGAATTTGAAAATCCACGAGGCGCATGAAGGCAATTGTATCGAGTAGTCGCTGTACGCGACAATCCCGGCTCCTCATTAAGTTCATCACGTTTACGCGCGGACAAGGGGATCCGTAATAGCTGCTTGAGACGCAGAGCGCATATCTCTAATCTCGCATAATAACTTTTTGATACTCTCGCGCGATTATAATATAAAAGCGCCCCCGTTCTTTCGCGAGAGGGCGGAAATCGAACCCCGCGCGGTGGGACAAGCTGAGGGGGTTGTGTTGCTTCGGAGACTCCCTTAAGCCCGGTAAATAATCGTCGCCGCGAGATGTGGGACGCGAGAGGGGTGAGGATCTTTCATCCCTGTCATCCCGGGCCCTCAGGAGCCATCGCTATCCACCTGTGCGGGGTGGGGGGGGGGAGAGGGTGCCCGCTGCAGTGGTACTGGCTCGCGAGCGACTCGCCATCCGGCGTGATTAAGAATTAAATATTTATGAGCATGCCGACTCTCTCCGCGTCGGCGGCTGTATCATGCTTTCTTCGGGGATTCACTTCCCGTTGATAGGGCACTCTCGTTATGAATAGAGCGACGTGGAATCGCGCGAGATACCGGATAAGCACCGCTGAAAGCGGACGAAAATAGGCTTCCGTTGACGCTTCGAAAGCGTCGCTCTCTCTCTCTCTCTCTCTCTCTCTCTCTCTCCTTTCTTCTCTTTCTCCCTTTTTGCCTCTTCTTACAATCCAGTGCAGTCTCCGTAACGTAAAGATGATCCTTTGTGAGGACGCTTAAGAGACTCCTTAATAATGAATTTCTCTATGAATGATCTGACCCCGTCGTGTCACAGAAAACGCGATGTGACGCTCGTGGACGAGCGGTGGATAGTCTAGAAACCACGTTTTTCTTCCGCTCTTTTTATCAAACATCCGCTGATCCCTATATAGATCCGTCAAGATGTTAACGCGAAGGAATGAAAGAGGCGCATCTCTCGCGTATTTCGGTCACCTACATAATTAACCGGGCCCATTTCGTTGCGCCTTTTATATCCGTGTCCACACTTTTCACACACTCTTCTTTACGACCGCCTACGATTACCTTGTGATTGATCTACCTCCCCGTTCTTGTTTACAGTTCTTTAACCCGTGCACAGAGACGCGATTCTGTCCATTGCAAAGGTCTGAATAATTTTATGATAAGTCTCTCGTAAGTTTATGCACCTCTGCATCTATTAATAACTTTGTCTCGAAGTGTGTCTCTCTATTAAAAAAATTCCGATATCGCAGTGATTAACCTTGCAAATAAGAGAGCTGTTTAATCGATATAATAAAAATAAAATTAGCCCAGTAAACTAAAATTTAGTTTCATTTCAGCAACGTAGTTCTTAATGTTGTACATTGCAGTGAACATACTTTGACAAACGTACATCTAAAAAATTTGTATAATTGATATGAAAGTGAAATATGCAAATGATGTTGCGCTAATATTATTATCAGTGCAAAATTTATAAAATATTTGGAATCATATTATTAAAATATTTTTTAAATATTCAGAAATATATTATTAGATGATATTTTAAAATATGACATTTATAAAATATTATATAAGAACGTTGACAAAATTCATGCGAAAGCAATATTTTGAAATGTTAATCTAATATTTTTTGCTTACTGAGAGATTTCCGGTTTTCGTTTTTTCGATGCTTTCGCGACAGGTGTATCTGATATTCCCGCTTCCATTCCTGAAAGCTTTACTCAGCGGCGTATTCTTTGACGCCGTTGTCGATCGCATATCGCTGTTACGACATAACCGGCATAATAATCGTTATCCTAGGCCGCGGTACGTTGATCACGAAGAGAGGAAAGGACTTTGAGCGGAGAAAGACAACGATAGCAACAGGTGGCATCAAAAATTCATTCGTGATGGGCCTCCATCAGCAGGGGACATCTGTTTCTGCGGTACTCACTCGACCTTCTTAATTACCTATGATTCCGGAGAGCAATTAGCGTTTGCGACACCACCAGGTGTATCATTAGGATAATGCAGGATGTATGCGTACCGCAGGATCCTGTGCGCGAGATAAATGTATCATTGTGGATTAAAGAGCCGCCGTAAAAATGCTTCGCGTATATATGAGATAGACCGCGTCTTCCTGATCGGCTCCGAAACTAATCGAGAGCTCCTCTTTAATATCAATAGAGTATACAAATTTATCATTCACGTGTGCGAGCAGATAAATGAAAACTCGAGATACGCATATTAAATTATTGGAAATTCTATATTCTGAGTAAAAATAATTTATTGCCACATATGAATGTTAATTCATGTGATAGATACAAATATAAAAAAAAATTACGTTTTAATACCAATCGAAATTTTTGTTAATTTAACGTATAACAATGAAAACTTTGCGTACGTATAGATTGGAATATTTCGATAAACGAGTCGAAATAGTCCTGCTTTGTAGAAATAAAAAAAATTTTTATATTTTTACAAACTACAAAATTATGAAATTTTTTTCTCTCATAGAATCGTCAGAGGTAGGCTTTCGTTGTCTCTCCTTATCGTTGGCTCTCCTTATCGGCTCGGAGATTTGAAAAGGAATAGCTTAAACTTTTTCGGGCTTTAGTAGTCTATCCATTTGATAAATTTGGCCCAAAAGTATTCCTTCGTACAGGTAAGGTACCCGGTTTCTCTTATTTCATCTACGCTTTGCCGGCCTAGCTGAAAGAACGTTTTAATTATGCTGAAAAAAGTAGTCACCACTTGAGTTCTGAACCACGATCGTCCACTCCGTCCAGTTCTGACAAGCGCGCTCCTCGCGGCTCGAACGGAACGTTTCTGCCTCCGGAAATGTTCACGATTTTTATGAAACATATGGTACAATCTTTGTATCATTGCCGGGATGTGTTTACGATTTTTATAATAAATTTTCTCGTGCGATCTCTCGGGCTTCAACGGATGTAACATTGCCGCGGAGACGTCCCTTCTGTCTCTTGAACTCTCTTCCCTCGGCTGCCGATGGCGTTGCCCCATCGTATCGTTTCCCCTTTCGAATTGCAAGTGCGCGTCCCTCTTCGCGCGAGTCTCTGCTTCACTTCGAAATTCGAAAAGCCTTCGGATGGCATTTCCGAGAAGCTCGACGGTGGCATCTACTATACGAGGCGATATGAGCTGATCGCGGGACAATTTCTCGGACTTCCGACGTTGCGTCTTCGAATTTATCGTCGGATCGTACGATGAATTTTCCTCGGAACCCAGCTTTACGACACTCACACGATAGGGATGTCCCGCGTTCGCTCGCTGGTCCTGCGGACGCGACGGCGGCGCCGATGGACTTTCGTCGTTCAAAGGAGCCTGGCGTTCTGCGGGATCTCCCTCAACTCCGTGATCTTCCCGCTCGAGCCAGAGCTCGAATAACGAGTCTAGTAATTCCCGCAACAGCGAGTAAGCGTACTTGACTAAAATGTCACCAAGGCTGCTCCTTCGCCGAAGGTTCGTCGGCGAATCCTCCTCCTCCTCCCCGAGGTCTGTCGATCCGGAATCGACTTTGTCATCGTCCCCAGGATTAGACGTCGGATTAACGGCGTGCGAACCGGTCCCGCGAGACGGAAACTCGTGACCAACTCGTGGAGTCTCGTGCAAAAGTTCCGGCGCGCTCGAGATCGCTCGCCGTCTGAAATGTTTGCACGTATGTCATTTTGCGGCTAAAAGGATTGGATTAACGCGATAATATGATCTTCAGCTTTACGTCCGGGGCGAAAGATAAAACTTATATGACGGAGCGCGTCACGGTAAAAAAAAATATTAAATGAAGCTTCTCTTGCGTTCACGCTGTCAGAATTAATTAGTTTCGGAACGAAAAGTGATTTATAGATTGCATGCCGTAAAAAGAAGCTTATACAAAAGACTTAAAGTTAATCTTTATTCCGAAGAATTACATACATATAATATGTATATCGAAAAATATTAGCGAAAACTTCATTTACGAAAGAGACATTTTCACCTTCTCTGTACGTAAGAATCGATTATCCTTTCAATTTTGTGAATTCGGTTGTCCTGTTGCACTGGAGGCCACCGCTCGTCTATACGCGGCCGTTCCTCTTGTGGATATTTTCCTTCTCCTTCGTCTTCGAGCATTGGCGCCATCGGCGCCATCGGCACACTGGGCGGATGTGGGTATTGCGGCAACATTTGCAGCTCTTTCGTCGATCTCTCGTTCGGATCCTTCGACAACCGTTCAAGTTCATTCATCAGCGTTTCGTTGTACATCTTCATCAAATATTCCGCGAGGCAGATGCCGAAGTTCACGTCCTCGGCGTACGCCTTGTACATACTCCTCCAATATCGGAGAGTTTCTCGCACCTCCGATACGGGATACGTTCTCTGTGCGTGCTTCGTTGATCCTAACATCAACGAGACCACCAGAGTGGAAAGTATCGCAGTCGCGAGCATCATCGATTCGCGTCAGCGTGTTCCTGGAGAGGACAGAAATGGATACGAACGATCATCTTTTCGGACGTGCACATAAATCGGTTGAATCCTGTCAGGGCGGAGAGATCGGGTATAGGTATCACGCCTCATATCTCCGAAACGGCCTTGGCGGTTATACGGAAAAATCGTTTCCCGTGTGTCTTTTACGTAGGGGAGAGGTAGAAATTGAAAGATCTCGGTGGCAGGGGTGGACGCATCGAATGAGCATCTCGTAATATGTAAAGTTTTTTTAACGCTTTAAACACGAGGTCGTGTATGAATCACATTCAGCTGTTTGAAAAATTCGGCGTGCACTCGCTTCAACGTTTATATAAAAATGTATCTTGCAAAAATATAAATATCACATAGAAACGAAAGCTCTGCGAATGATAAAAAACGGGAGCGCGCGGGATTCACGGTTAATCTCAGAGATTCGCGGGAATTAAAAGGAATATAAAAGTATCTCGCGCGCGGTACGTTTTCGTGATTAAATCGCTCTTCACTGGATGCTCACTGGTAGTTCGAACTGAGGAACCTGTCCTGCTGCTGGCGACGCCGTGATATTCGAAGTTGCGGGCGATAACGAGCGGCGTCAATTGGAAAAAAAATACGCAACTCGGATCACGTCGGTTGCGTAACGAGTAAACGCGCGGCGCGGTTTTACAAAACGAAATGGAGGAGAAAAAAAATTGTTGTAATCGGATTCGTCGACTCGCGTTCGCGTGGAGGAATGGTCTCCGTGTATTTATCCAGGATAAAGAGAGAGAGACGGAGAGAGGTTTTCTCCTTGTAACGCTAAGCGGTAGACTGACTGGTCTTTACGACAGTGATCCCTCTATATCCATCCGTCGCAATTAGTGCTGGCGCCAAAAGTACGTAAAATGCATAACTTGTCTCGTAAGAGTCCGTGTCTCGCTCGCTCCCGCCTGTCGTCATGTTCGTATCTCGCCGGTCGTATCTTCTTCCCTTTTTGCCGTCTCTTTCCCGTCGATGCGGATCTCACGCGAAGCTAACGGGACCGAGGTATTAGAAACAAGGATGACGAAGAAGAGTAGGTTGCATTCCTAACATCATTCCTCGAATAATCTTAGTGTGGTTCGTTACGAATGGAATCCTGGGATTATCTGACGCGGAGCGATTTACAGGAGGAGTCTCCGCTCGCCGGAAGAGCGAACGGGAGATACGAATTGACGCCGCGTTCGTGAAATAAGAAAAAAGTGGAGACGTCGTATCCTCCTGCCGCCTCGGAGAAAACGAAAGCGGGAACGGCAGGACGTCTGCTGTCGGCGAAACGCGCGCACAGCGGGAGAAGCAATAAAAAGAGATGTTATGTACACGGACAATTATCGCGGTTTAATTGAAAGAGCTTAAGCGCGAGAATAAGTTGAGAACTTTATAAACTTTGCTCTCTCCCCCGAGATATTTACGAGGCGTGTGCTACGGAAGAGCGCGGTCGCAGCAACACGGTCCGTCATTTAGGAATAAATACAGTTACCGATCTTTTTAATGAAAATATATCACTAATGGAAAAGCACACCGCAGAATAATTATCTCATATTTCTAGAGAATATTTGTCTCATTTTGCATTATGAAAAGCATTTTTTGTCAATGAATGAAAAACGGCTGCGACAGCGACGCGGTTCGTGAAATTAATGTAAAAAGATCAAACAACTGCATTCGTGAACGTTGTAGAGATTTATGTAATGCGGATGTATAACTCGGGATTTCGGTATTCGGAAGAAGTAAAAAACGGATGGATAAAAAGGGATATACCTACGGTATTGCACTTTAAGACTGGATCATTGCGTGTGCTTTAATAGGGTTGAGTAATCCTTTGCTTCAGCCGCACTTGTCCCAAGTAACCAATTAACGAATTACCGGACCTTTATCTGCCAGGCCGTTGCCCGTTCTATTTGTCCGTTGTTTCACCGTGAAATAAAGGCATTCGTACGTCTGTCGCTAATTAACAGTGAAAGCGATTTTGCAGCCGCGCTTCTTTTCCTTCTTTTCACAACTGGATTTATGGTACCGTGAACTCCGCTCTTTACAGCTCAACAATGAATGAATTAAAGTCTTTGAACCTGACGGAGCGCAAGCAAACATTATTATTTTGTACTTTTTGTTTTTAAGCTCGTTATTTTATTCTCGTTATTATATTTTATCCTCGTTTTGATATTTTATTTATTAAGCTCCCTTACGTTGTACGCTGAACGATCTCCTCCGGAGGGAGTAGGGTCTTGCCCATATATAAAAAAAACAAAGGAACAAAATTATCCCGCAGTATATTTACTAATAAAAAAAGAGCAGAGATTTATAAAACTTCATAAATTTAAAGCAGAGGCCGGACCGCGCGCGTGATAACTCGTCCGTGAGTGCGCGAAGGGGTTAAATTACACATTTCTCATCCCGCGTCTCCTTTTTGCTCCTTTTCGCCGCGCCTTTTCCCACTTATCCTCGTCGCTCGGTTGTTTTTCTCCGCCCTAGTTTTCCGGCTGTACGTACGTAACAGAAGATCCGAGGGAAAAAAAGCAGTGCTGAGCGCATGGATGATCCACGTAACCGCACTCTCCCGCCCGGCGAGAGAGATCCTAGATCCCCTTAACCCCTCGAAACACGACGAGAAAGCGATAGCTGCCTTCTCTCCATTTCGCCGTTTACCTTCCCGCTCATCTCTCCTTGCCTCTATCTCTTATATACACACATATACACATTTCTCTCTCTCTCTCTCTCTCTCTCTCTCCTTTCTTTCTCCGTCGTCCTTTCTGTCCCGTGCCTTCCGTTTACTGCCTGCCTACCTCCGTAGCACTCCACTTTGTCTTGCGCTCGACAGTTACATCGACACCCACTCGTCCGGGGGTAAGTCTGACCGGCAATTCACGCTGGAGTGGTGCACAGATATGGGGCGGTGCCGGCGGTGGCGGTGGCGCGGTGGTGGTTCAGAGGGTGCTCTTCTGGAATGTCAATCGCACTTCCACGAGACGAGAATGGAATAATTGGAGCACTGGCTCCTCTCGTGATGACCGAGTCATTTTTTTTTCTCTCCCCCACGGCTGTTAGAGCGAGCAGTTTTTTTCCCCGCCGCTGGGATGAGCGTCGCGAGAACGATAATTGAGAGTTTTCCCCGCGTTTATATGACGCGTTGTTAACGGTCTAACTGTCTTATTGCGCGTATTACGATCGAGCCGGTTCTAGTCCGTTTAGTTTTTTTGAATACGCGTTATATTCACGTTCAAAAGGAAAGCTTGAGAAATACAAAAGCTACAATTTTTATATTTATCTTTATTTATATTTTATATTTATTTAATATTTATCCTCATCTATTTACGCGTTTTCTGCATAATCCGCATAAAGGTTAGCAAAACAACATCGTCTGAGCGTTTCAGCCCCTAAATGCGTTGTAGGTGCACACAGCCCACGGCAGCTTTTAGCAGTGGCGTATTAAGATTAAAGTTTTTAGATTCTTCACCGTGTTACAAAGCAGGTACATAAATCAGCTCTTAAGTTTTAACTAAATGACAAGCAGGTAGCCGAGACGCAACATCCAGGCAGGGAGTAAAAAACGATGTTACGTCAGCGAAGTCGCTATAAGCTGCTTTCTTGCTCGGTACTTTCGGTATCGCCGATCGCATTTGCCTCAATTTGCCATTGTGCTCTTCCCGTAGAGCTCGCGATTAGAGGAAACGCGCTCGATTACAAATATGTGATCGCGCGCGCGGGGATGAGATCGGATTATCGATTCTATCTGTCGAAGGAAATCTCGTACGTAGCGATATTTGAGAGACGCCGGGGCTGTCGCTAAAAGCGTAGCGCGGATTCGAGGGTGTATGGCATTTGATAAACTCTCGTGCGCAAGATATCTCTGATAATGAAATCTCTCTCGCGCCACGCCGCCATGCGTATACCGGCATTTTCCGACAGCTCTCAAAAATCCTGACAAAATTCGGACGCTAATGAAAGTTTCGTAGACGATGCGAGCGACGAATAAAAAAAAGAGGAAAAAAGCATCGAACAAAAAAAACAATTGAAAATACTTTTCAATCTTTTTGAAGCTCGCCACCACCGATTCCCATTTCGATTTCCGCATTTAAATGAGGGATTACGGAAATTTGTTTACCTTGTTCAATCATGCCAGTCGCAATATTATCAACCCAGACGTCTGAATAGGTTTTCTCACAAAAATTTAAGGAATATTATTTTATAATATTATTTTAAAAAATTGCAACGAACGAAAGTGTGTTGAAGGCTATTATACGTTTTATTTTTTTAACAGTAATATGTAAAACGGAGTACGTGTATATTAAAGGATGGTTTCGGGTTTTGTTTAGAAGGCTGGGTGATTAAATTTACCTGATGGAGTAGACTTTCGTTTGCACGTACCGCGTTGAGGTATCAACGCCTCTGCAAAAGCTGATCAAAACTTGTTATTTAACTATTCCAACGACTCCGCTTGCTTTATATACACGCCACCGCCCCCGTCTACGCAATTTTCCGTATTTCCAGATATATTTCCGGTTGTTATCCTTTATAGTGTAACCTCGTTACGATATTGCGGGCGCAACTCGGGGCTATTCGTTACGGGACGAATGTCGGTTTCGTTATATTGCATTTCTCGCGCAGAGCGCGCGGTTATCCTAAAACAGCTGTCACTGCCAGATACTCCAGAAATGATGACCATCTTCGTTCCACGTCGCGAGCGCCGCGCCGCGCGACAGTCGCGTCCGGGAGATGAATTTTATCGCGCGCCCGCGGATGCGCAACTTCCACGCGAATCGCTGCTCGAAACCCTTAACTGCTTACGATTTATTACGGGCGCTGTAATTGTCGTGGCTGCATCTATAGGCTGCAGTCCTCCTCCGGCGACAAGACGGAGATTTCCCTCCCGTTCGACGGAATAATAATGCCCGTCTATAATTTTCCATTTACTTTAAATTATCGTCTACGCGTACCCGTCACATGTGTGCGTTAAACGCATGCGTATAGATAATTAATGGACGCGACGTGAGATACTTTAAATTTGAGAATTTTATTCGAAAATTCACGGCAGAGTTACGCGCATGTCGTTTTAACAATAGTTTTAATAATAATTAGCTGCAGGCAAGCGCGCTCGGACGGTAATTTGCAGCGCGAGAGTTGCAAAAGCTTTTTGTCCCTACCTGGTGCTCTTGACGCCCATTTACAACGCGCCGCGGCGCGGAGCGTCTTCTTATTTTCGCGCGACATTAGCGCATTCGCGCGTTTACGCGAAAACGTCGCGCGCGTAATACTTCACGTCCAAGTATCGGATTAACGTGATATCGGATTAACGTAAGGGGCGGACGTAACCGGCGCCGAGCGTCGAGCGCGACGGTATAATCGCGTTTCAGGCGAAGTTGCCGCGCGGAAAGGCGTCGCCGCGTAACGAGGATCCCATTCTGAGGCCGCGCATTTTAAGACTTTTACTTTGCCTCGTCGTGGATAAAAGCCTAGCGTCGAGTTGAAAATTCGATTTATTAATCTGGCTGCCGCGAAACGACCGCGAAATCGATCGAGGACGCCGCCGCGGAAATTGGGGCGGTCCCCTCCGGTCGCCGGCACGAGGAGAGGAAGAAGAAGAAGAAGAAGAAGAAGAAGAAGAAGAAGACAGAAAAAAGAGAGAAGAGAAAGAAAGAGAGAGCGAGGGACCTTTTCTCCGCGACTTTATTCCACCTAACTTCGCCCTACCGGTTTACGACTCCCTGAATACAGCCGGCTAATTAACGGCGCTTCCTTAGCGGGCGAGCTGGGAGTAGCCAATTTCATTTCCGTTCTCCCGGTTTTATTTTTTTTCCTTCCTCCTCGGTTAAGCGGTCTCGCTCCCGTAATTCAGGGTTACCGCACGGCGCGAGTGTGTCTTCCTTATCCGCGCGTGTATCCGGGAATGCTATGTTTACGCTGCGCGTTGCACTCTCCTTCGCCAGCGAAGGAAAATTCATACACTTTTCAATTTCGCCGAGCCACCTGGACTTACTACGTTCCGCGAAAGACTCCTCGATCCTTTATCATTTCGGGAAGGCCTCTCCCTCGAGAGGCGTCATTTCTGCTACGCGCGCCGTTGTGCTTCCTGCAGATTAATCTGCCAAACGCACCGGGTAGTCTGACACATGTATACACACGTGTATACCCACAATACGTGACGTAAAGAAGGGTCTTCAAGTTTCATACATTTTGCCATTCATTGCCGTGACTTTTTATAAGCTCTCCCCTTGCGCGATCGCTAATACCGCAATTTGTTCCGCCGTGTACCGCGTGTAGGACTCGCGAATTGAATGGGAGCGATTCCCATCTCTTGATTTGATTCAATTATATTCGGCTATAGGTGCGGCGCCGCGGATGGACCCGCGTTCATTAACGCAACAAATGTGACTCTCCAATGTACATTCATCAAACGCGTGTATCGAGCAGCGGTACTGCATTACTCCTCGGCGATCCTGAATTATTCTACAATTAGTCCGCGGGGAATTGATTTCCCGAAATGAAGACCCGCGCCCGGGGTTTTTACAAATATACCGCAAAATCTCAAGTGTCAAGCGGGATTCGCGCAAAAACGGCTAATTTCCCCGGCTTTGTCAGTGTCGGCCGCGGGCATTTCCAAACTTTGTCAATGTTGTCGTCTAACCGATCGTGTCCGTTGCGGCCGAAGCGACGGTTTTGCGCGCGCGGGAGGGGGAAGGAGGCAACGGGGCCCGCAGTTTAACGAGCTGGTTGAATTGATGTATTCTCGGCTCGGTTTTAATTAATCGGAGTGATGTTTCAATCGGGTGACAGGTAAATCATGGGCGAAGCGTCGGCGAAAGAGAGAAGAGAGCGAGAGAAAG